TGCACCTTTCTTGTCAGCCTTGTCCCTGACTGTACTAACGTCCATTTCGTCTATCAAGGGACTGAACGAGTTGGTACACTTAGCTGTTGTTGTCGTTGTTGTATCCTTGGTGTGTTTCTTAACCACCAGTTTGGTAGTCCCTCTCCTCACAACTACAGTAGCTGCGTGAGGGAAATTCTGGATATGGAATTTATCCTTCCCACAACACACCATCAAGAGACCCAGTCCCCAATTATGTAACTGTATATTTTCAGCCTCCCGGCTGCCATGCTCTTTCAATAAACCGTTAATTATTATTATTATTATTATTATTATTATTATTATTATTATTATTATTAATGGTTCCTGGTAACTCATTGACAGTAACGATTAGTGTTCACTTGATGACCAGGAACTTGAATTCCGTGATACAGTTCATAATTTTGATTAACTCAAAATTCAGCTGTAGCCTCCTAACAGGAGGAGGGGGGGTGAAACTCTTGCGGTAAGATGCGTCTTGCTATTGGTGCTGTGAACGTCACCAGAAGAGACCAAACCACAAGAACATACGTCAACAAAAAACACAGCTGCACAGTGCCGCAGAAGCAGACAGTGCCGCAGAAGCAGACAGTGCCGCAGAAGCAGACAGTGCCACAGCAAGAGACATGGGGGCGTCGTGAGCGGGGGCGGTGGCCATGATGGAAATACATGGCGGGTGTTGCAGCAGCTGGTGAGCCGGCACGTGCCGCCCAGCCAACCGCACTTGAGTGCCCCACCACCACCACTAGCTGGCCGGGCGGACACCACGCTGCCACCACTCAAACTCACACCTCCTGCCTAAGTGCTCCTCCCTCACCACACCACCACACTTCATAATAATGGACTATTTAACACTAACTGTAGTGATGTTTATCACTTCGGCTGTGGCCGTAACTTATCTGCTCACCTTAACACCCCAAGCATAAACATGTGAAAACGGAAGTATGAATTATTATCGCTATGTGTGTGTAAACTGCTGGACCAGTATCGTTCTGCAATTAAAAAATACAGTCACCAAACGATTGTCATGTCTCCCGACACCCTGAATTAAATTGCATCAAACGTGACTTCGAGCCCGGAGAGAACCCAAACTTTTAAGCCCCGATGACTCTTACATCAGTCTTGTTTGAAGTAAGTACTGTATTGTTATGTACAGTTATTGTTTTAAAGGGTCGGCGATAAGAGGGAGAGTGTGTCCGCGAGGCAGTCAGGCGACAGCGGCACCAAGTTCAACCCAAGTCTTATTTTAGTTTAACAAATTTATTGACAAAGCTTGGAGTACAGTTTGCCTATTCTGAGTAAGTAAGTCAGGTCTTGACACTAAGGGTCAAGTCTTATTGAGAAGGTTCACCCACGGCATCCCAGAGCATCATCTGGTGTTCCACTTCTTCCCCTTTTTAATTTTATATTTATTGTTTTCCTAGTCCATCTTTTCTTGTTCTTCGCCATCTTGTTTTTCATTTAATTTTGCTTTATCATCTTCGTTTTACTATTTTTTCATTCTTTCTTTTCTTTATCACCATCTTCCTTTCTTGTTTCCAACACTTGTTTTCTTCAGTTTTATATCATTTTACGTAACTGGCGACGAGAGGTGGGGAGAGGAGGTGGGAGGGTTGTGTTGTAGACCTTTAAGCGATTTCCAATTCTATCAGTCCATCTATACTGACCTCAACCCCAAACCTAAACTGACCCTTAGCATTTGCTTCCATTAGAATAGGGGCTTTTAATGAGCCCCCTTAAGACAGGAAACCCCCTTAAGGATGAAGAGTGGTGGTGGAAAAGTTACAGTAGTGAAAGAAAAGAAAGGGGAAAAGGGGGAGTAGGGGAGGGGTCGGGATGTGGTGAAAATAGTGGTGGAGGAAATATAAGGGAAGATGATGATGTGGGAGAAGGCGAGGAGAGTGACATTGCACGTGGCACCAGAATGACCCACACAACACACACACTATTTACAGCGTCGCGGAGCGTCTTGGTCGCCTCACATGATGATGGTGGTGGAGTTGCTTCCCAATGTCATGATGTCACCGTCCCCTCGCATCCCCTCCCACTGCCCCCTCTCACCTCTCTCTCATCTCCCCCACAGTTTCTCTCACACCTCTCAAAGCCCAATCATCCCTCCCTCACCGCCCCCTTACCTTTCCTCATGACAATGCAAATGAGGCCATAACCCCACCTGACCCTTAAGACTGAGGCCAAGGTTCATATGAAGACCCAATTGTAATGGTTAGGTAGTAATTAGAACTGGAGCCCACCTGACCTGTAAACCGTAAGGTCGGTCAATCGTCCTGCAACCTACAATCACTTAAGCCTCGTCCTGTAACCTACACTCGATCAAGCCTTGTCGTCCTGCAAACCTACAATCAACCAAGAGAATTTACACGATCCCACTTACACTCCACCTTAATGGCCAAGATTTTTTTTTAACATTAAAAGATGGTTGGCCGAATCGACGCCCCCACACTCGTATTCCAACATACAATTTTCACTTCTCTCCCATTCCCGAGTGTGTTGGATCTAAGATGGTACAGGAACCTCAAAGAAAAGAAGAACAAATTAGAAAAGAAATGCAGGAATAAAATATGAACATTAAATACAGAGGAACGATACCAAAATAAAACATAAAAAATAAATAATAATTGAGGCCTGGCACCACCTACTTCACCAAGGTCTAGCTGGCACAATAACGGTATTCCCGAGAACAGTATAACACGATCTGGCACATGGCACCACCGTTAACACTATCCCGCCCACACATCACCACCATCACTACCCCTCCAACACCATCATCATCAGTTCATCACCATTAAACACTATCCCACCCACACATTACCATCACCATTAAACACTATCCCACCCACACATCACCATCACCACTAATACTATCCCACCCACACATCACCACTAACACTATCCATCCACACATCACCATCACCACTAATACTATCCCACCCACACATCACCACTAACACTATCCTGCCCACACATCACTACTCCTCTTAACTAACACCATCTTCATCATCACCACTACTACTACTACTACTTTGCTGTCACTTGGAATCGATTATGACGATCATCCAGCTATGACACAATGTTATTAAGGATGTCACCTAGGTTGGTGAGTTTTATGGTAACCAAAGAGGCCGATACGGGACCGGCAGAGTCGTTCACAGATGTTGCACATGTGGATGTGCTCCATTTATAGTGTGGGAGGGGCGGCGGCAGCGTCTTTCCGGCACTGGCGCTTGTCTGTCTCGGTTTGCAGTCGGGATAACCCCAACACATCACTACCATCAATCACTACCCCTCCAACACCATCATTATTACCAACAATAATACTGTACTATCCCCGTCCACGCCACCACCAACGCCACCTCTCTCACACAACCACAACCAACAACACTATTCCACACCAGCACCCTTCCAACACAACACCTATACCATCACCAATACCACCAACTGTCACCAAGGTCATCCACGTACTACACCAACCCGTCTACCGCCCACCTCAATACACTGGCATTGCCTATCACCTATGGAACCCAGTGTCACCAATGTAAGTCGTCAATGCTATCTAGCTTCACCAATGGAACCCACTGTCACTAATGGAACCTAGTAACATCAATGAAAACCCCGTCACCATCATCAGCACTACGACCCACACCACTTTCCTGTTGAGGCACGTGAAGGCCTATCCGTGCATGGCAGGAAACGTATTCACAATAGTAAGGCGGACATATCACACAGCTACGTGGAATATCTATACATCAGATAAATATTTGCAAGATTAAGCAAACTTTGCCTGCTGATTTATACCATATTTGCAAATTGAAGTATATCTGTATGCTACACAATAACAAATATCTATACATGGAAACATACGAGTATGACAGTGCAAAGCCAATAATTCCTTGCACACCCACGAACACCATAAAGTAACAATGGCATGTGTGCGCGCGCCTAGCCCGAGACACAATGATGAACAATAAAACCCACACGTTCACGATGAGACGTTACCGTGAAGAGCAGTACGTGTGTGTGTGTGTGTGTGTGTGTGTGTGTGTGTGTGTGTGTGTAGCACATGGGGAAGGGAGAGGCACCGGTGTTTGAGGGTATCAGAATATGTGCCACAAGAAGACATAATCAGTTCTGGATGGTGAGCATACATATGACTACTGTAGGATGGCCTCTGCCCTCAAGGATGGAGGAGATATGCATGTGTGAAATGTTGAGAAAATGGGCGTTGGAATATAGAGAAATATATATTATTAACGACAAACTATGAATAATCAGTATTACCTATGTATGATCAGAACAAACTATACACTAAGTACAGCTGAACATGCCCACGACACGCCCAAACAATCCACGTCAGGCGAGGAACTATTGGTCGAGTAAGGACATTTTATGTAGGTCTGGGAACAGCATTATAGTAGACGTCTGAGGAAATATATGACCAACTCAGCACGGAATGAAACGTTTGTGAGTGGCAGTGCACGTGATAGACTGCCGTAGAGTGCCAAGGACACACATCACTGCATGGCCAGGACAAGATACACAGTGCAGAGGATGAGTAGTGCTGGGTGAGACTGGTTGGCCCCAGTCAACGCCACCACCGGGGATGGGGGATGCTGCACGTCCCCTGAGTGCATGTGATCATGGCCGCCCCGCTAAATACGTCCACACATCAGCTGTGCACCAGTAAAACCGTTTTCATTGGTTCGCCTCAGTCAGTGCCGCCTCCGTCACCACCGCCCGCATTCTTTGCCGGCTTCTTCCAAGGGTCTAGCCACTTTCTCCGGTCACTATGCACTGCCTCAAAGCTTTCCAAGGACGTCCAAAACCACCTCTTTGGATACTTACCCAAATTAACACAACCGTCAACCTGATTATCCCTTGAGAAATAGTCCCCATCTGGTCATATGGTGACCTACTCAAACTCAACAACACACAAGTTTTTAAGACAACTTCGACATAAACTTTACCTTTTCATCTCCGTCATGGTCCAGATAGATGCTCACTAACACCCATGCCAATTTCAACAGTAATAATCAACCCGTGGGGCCTTCAAAACCTTACAATATAGGTTCCAAGTCTCACTCCACCGAAGCCACTAAAGCAACTACGTCACACCAGTCAGTGAGTTGGGAGTAGCGCCAGGCCAGCAGCGTCGTGGTCGCTCCGCCATGTTCACAGTTGCTATGGTTACGCCGTCCCCGCAACACACCTACAATTGCCGGTGTAGCATCCCGTGACTCACTCAAATTTTCATCTCCCACATTTTCTTCTTTTATTGCCGTTATGTATACTTGTTCATTGTTCTATTGACTGTAGAGATATGTAATAAAGACACAAAACGAACTTTTAGCTAAATTAATTCATATTTCCCAAGAAAGATAAAACAACAACAATCAAGGCTGCAGGTGACCAGCCGCATTCCTAGGCATATACGCTAAACGACACTTAATTGGTAGCATATAATTCAAGTTCCTGTGTGTAAATAATTATGGATCAAAATAACAGGACACTAATAATCATCTTCACTGTTACACAACACAGGAACAAATTTATATTCTAAGAAATGCAGGAATTATAAAAATTCACCGTAAGACTGTCGCTGGGATTGGGGCAACCTAGCAACTTTCATCTGCAGTCAGTCAGTCCTTCACAAGCTGTATCCCACCTGTGTGTCCGAATGCCGGAGAAGGTGGACGACAGGGAGGTCGTCCCGGAACCCACTACCACACAAAACTGGCAAATCTGGTTCTCTGTCGCCACCGACTGGCGTTAACTGCTGACTCCCGCCACGGGTTTTTTATAAAGTACATTATTTCTGTAGGGAAGCTGCATCCAGTTTAGACTTTTTAATAATCAGATCAACGTCTATAGAGCGAGGTATATCTTTTCAAAAATCATATGGAGTGATTTATTTTTTGTTCTCTACTTATAATGCATTTACAAATTTAAATCACTTACTAACGGCCAGATTTTTTCTTCTCAAAGTAAGCCGAACATGAAGCGACCCTGTCATGTAACCGAGTGTAAACCACAATTACCACAATGTACTTCCACACCTGCCTCCACCACAATTAATACAGTATATCTGCACACAATAACTACAAGGTTAAAATGTTTAATAACTCCCAATCATAATCAGTAACTGCACAAACCTCAACAGCACAGTCATGTACATAACCAATCATTAACATACGTCCTATCCTTTATAACTTTCAGATAAATTTAAGAAAATGTTCACATCTTGGAGAAGAAAAGTAATGGCTACAAGGGCAAGTAGTGGAGTGAGAGATACATACTGCAGTGCAAATAGTACAACATGATACAGTTGACCAGCCCTAACTTTCTCTTCCTGTGTACTTGGTGATACGCACAGTACTAACCTTCACCACCAATTCACCTCACCACCACCAGCTGTCACCACCAATTCACCTCACCACCCACCACCACCAGCTGTCACCACCAATTCACCTCACCACCCACCACCACCAGCTGTCACCACTAATTCACCTCACCACCCACTACCACCAGCTGTCACCACCAATTCACCTCACCACCCACCACCACCAGCTGTCACCACCATTCCACATCACCGCCCTCCGCCACCAGCTGTCACCACCGTTCCACCTCACCGCCCTCCACCACCAGCTGTCACGAACATTCCACCTCACCACCCTTCACCACCGTTCCACCTTACCGCCCTCCACCACCAGCTGTCATTACCACTCCACCTCACCGCCCTCTACCACCAGCTGTCACCACCACTCCACCTGACCGCCCTCCACCACCACTCCACTTTAGCCGCCCTCCACCACCACTCCACTTTAGCCGCCCTCCACCACCAGCTGCCATCACCCCTCCACCTCATTGCAGTCCACGATCAGCTGTCACCACCACTCCACCTCGCCGCCCTCCATCACCACCACTCCACCTCACCACCCTTTACGATTCAGGAGTCACCTACACCAGCTACCAGGGTTAGGTGTAACGTGGAGGGGGGAGTTGCAGGTTAAATGTGCTCGTCCTAATCTTTTGAACTAGGATCCAGCTAACGGAACTGGGCCCAGCCCTAATAATTTACATTAGGTTCAGTTGAAGCCTAAGACGACTGAGGTGCAATTGGAAAGTCAATAATGTCAAGATGTGTTGTAGTGCAAGAGGTCGCTACGTGAGGAGGACTACTCACCAAGGGGGGCGAGGGATACGGCGTTTACCAGTGATGACCCAAAACACACGTCCCTCTCCTGGCGCCCTAGTCTACATTCTTTCACTCGTTGGTCACTCACAGAAATGGGGGTACTGAAGGTGGTAGGAACGATCAACACTGAGGTTCTCCTTAGTGTCCTGTCATGCCACTATGTTTACAAACACGGCTTCACACGTCCTGTCTCATGATATTTACAACTCGTTCTCCACAGCTTAATTCACACTAGATCCTGCCCTCCCTGCCACCCTTGACATCAACGCATTAACCCACAGTGATACCTCTAATATATCTGGTTATATTATTTCTAGTTATTTTCAGTTAACACCTTAAAAATAAGGAGAACCTATATTCGGAGGTACTTATTAAGGTTATAGCGAGGTGTATGTAGGCAAGAGTCAGGGAGAGTTGGAGGTATACGGGAGACAAGATGCAGCGGGTGCACGAGGCAGCAGTACACACACAACTGACCCACACGCCCGCCCTCCCTCCCTCCTCCACGTACAACACACGCGGAGGCTGTCACCATGGCAACCAACAGATAGATACTCGAGCTAACTCACAACATTACAATCCACTCCCACAGTAAAGTACCCACGTATTAGCTGCCGCACCACCACTTCTAGAACCCCATCAGCACCACCACATTAATGGACGACTTTTACAAAGGTACATAAAGAGTTTGTAAATATAATAAGCCTCAAGAAAAATAGCAATTCCAAGTTAACTTCCCAGGAACTCATCACAACTTAAGCTGATCTTCAAGTAGCATCACGAACTTTAAGCCGCACGCACGCACGCACACACATGTACACACGCACACACATGTACACACGCGCGCACACGCACACACATGTACACACGCGCGCACACGCACGCACACACACACACACATCGCTACAAGGCACCCTGGACAGGCTACAGGCATGGACTACGGAGAACAAGGTCACCATCAACCACACCAAAACCGTAGTCATGCACATCAATACCGCCACCACTCCAGTGCAAGCCCCAGCAGTCACAGTGGGTGCCCATCCTCTCCAGCTGGTGCAGTATGCCAAACTCCTGGGTGTAACTATAGACAACAAACTTGACTGGAAGGCCCACGTAAATAACACAGTCAAGGCAGCCTCGTACCGTCTCTACATGCTACGACGACTTCGGTCACTTGGGACACCCACGCCAGAGCTGAGGACCATCTACAACGCCTTTATTCTCCCCAAACTAACGTATGCGTCACCAGCCTGGTCGTCTTCTCTCAACTCCACCCAACAACGTCAGCTAGAGAAGGTACAGAAAAGGGCCTGCAGAATCATGCTCGGCGCAGAATACTCCAGCGACACCAACGATCTCTCCACCCTGGAAATGCCATCCCTCAGTGACCTCCACCACCAAACACTGGAAAGGTTTGGCAGCCAATTCATGCACCACCCTCGTCATCGCCACCTCCTGCCACCGGCAGCCCCCCGCCCACCTCGCACAGTCCGTCACTACAAGAAAATTCAGCCCATAAGAGCCCGCACCGATAGATATAAGAATAGCACCATCCCATCAATTGTTAAACTAAGAAACAACTCCTGATTTATGTACTGTACAGCCCTGTAAATGTATTCAATGCATATTATATCATTATGTCTAAATCAAATGTAAGTCTGTATATTTTCAGCCACCGGCTGCAACTCTATTAATAAACCGTTTATTATTATTATTATTATTATTATTATTATTATTAATACACACACACACACGTGGTTACTTTAAGGTAGAGGTAAGATGGTAGTAGAGGCGCTGGTCTGGGTCGATGAGATGCATCCGGGTGAAAACCTCAAGTGACCGACCACCAGGTGCCTCGCCAACACCCCACACCATCACCAGATCCGCCACACAATCACCACACCCGTCACACAACACCCAACACCATCACCAGTCCCACCACACAACACCCCACACCATCACCACACCCGTCACACAACACCCCACACCATCACCAGACCCGCCACACAACACCCACACCATCACCAGACCGCCAAACAACACCCCACACCATCACCAGACCCGCCACTTAACACCCCACACCATCACCACACCCGCCACACCATCACCACACCCGTCACACAACACCCCACACCATCACCACACCGGCACACACACCCCACACCATCACCAGACCCGCCATCACCATCACCAGACCCGCCACACAACACCCCACACCATCACCAGACCCGCCACACAACACCCACACCATCACCACACCCGCCACACCATCACCACACCGTCACACAAGACCCCACATCACACACACCGCCACACAACACCCACACCATCACCACCGCCACACAACACCCCACACCATCACCACACCCGCCACACAACACCCCATACCATCACCAGAACCACCCACACCATCACCAAACCCGCCACACCATCACCAGACCGCCACACAACACCCCACACCATCACCAGACCCACCACACAACACCCCACACCATCACCAAACCCGCCACAACACCCCACACCATCACCACACTCGTCACACACCCACACCATTACCAGACCCGTCACAACACCACACACCATTACCAGACCCGTCACACCCGCCGCACAACACCCCACACCCGTCACACAACCCCCCACACCATCACCAGACCCACCACACACACCCCACACCATTACCAGACCCGCCACACAACACCCACACCATCACCAGACCCACCACACCATCACCACACCCGTCACACAACACCATTACCAGACAAGTCACACAACACCCCACACCATTACCAGACCCGTCACACCGCCGCACAACACCCCACACCGTCACACAACACCCCACACCATCACCACCCGCCTACCCATCACCACACCGTCACACAACACCCGTCACAAAACACCCCACCCGTCACACAACACCCCA